GGACACAGACACAGTGGCAAGGACACAAAGTCGAAGTCTTGGATTCAGAATGCCGAAAACAGGAGCAAGTCCCACCGAGTACGAGTACAGCAGCTCCAACTGGTACGAGACTGGTCCTCGTACCGTACGGGGAGCCGGTATAAGTACCGGTGACACGTACGGTACGAGGGGCGTTTCTGCAAAAGCCCCGAGGGCAGAACTGAAAAATGCGGCATTTGAAAGTGGCGCCCGAATTGCACCATGGCGCCAGTTGTCCAAAATCCGACGGTACCAAAGGAGGGGTTTGGAAAAAGGGTGCCAGGCCAAAAACGGGATGCAGCAGAAACAGCAAAAAGTAGACCAGGGATCGAGCCCTGGCGGAGTCCGTAACACTATCCCCTCCCTCTGAAAGGCAACGTCCCGGCTGCCAAACCTAAGGAAACAAAAAGGAACTGTGAAGGACGGGATGGGGCCGATTACTGGTCGGAAAAGGAGAAGGGGAGTGATGCAAGTCACAGGGTATTCTGTCAGATGTTCTGCACAGATGAAGGTATGATGTAACTGGGTAGGTCTACAAGGGGAAGCTAAGAAATGTTCAGGGAACAGGGGATTTCGATTGATGTTCTACTGGGTAAGGGGAAACAATGTCCAGGAAAACAGGGAATTTCTATTGATGTTCTAGTGGGTAAGGGGAACAATGGTCAGGGAAACATGGAATTTCTATTGATGTTCTAGTGGGTAAGGGGAACAATGGTCAGGGAAACAGGGAATTTCTATTGATTTTCTAGTGGGTAAGGGAAACAATGGTTAGGGGAGCAGGGATTTTCTAATGATGTTCTACAGGGTTGTCAGCAAAAATGAAAGTGTTTGTTCAGGATGCAAGGGCTGGTATGTCCGAAGGAGTGGGAAGCAAAGTCTCATGTAGGAACAAAGTGTCCAAGTGTCTTGAAAGGCGATCTGCAGCGGTCTTGATCAGGTCTTGGAGTAGGTGGTAGAAGCGGTCTTCAGCGGCTGCGACAGGTAGAAGTCCAAGAAGCGTAGCAGCGGTTCACATGTCCAAAGTCCAAGTGCTGGGGTGCGTCCGGTACACGAACTGCAATGAGGTCTGATCTGGAAGCAAGGAAGTCGCAGACTGATGCAAAGATCCATGTCACAGGTTGCTGCTCCAGCAAGTCCGCGAATCGAGATGCCGACCGATGAAACAGCATGGTGGCCAAACCAGCTGTATAATCTCCATCATCAGTGAGGCAGCAGGCCATCGTCCTCGTGTGTTTGCCATTAGATCCTTTATCGCCGGCGTCACGCAGGTCCACAAGCATTGAACAAGGGAGACAAGGTAGTGGAGAGGACAGATGGGACAAGGCTAGGCGAGGGCAATGGTAGATCAGACATCAGGAATCTGGGTCGAGGGGAGGGTGGGCTGGGTTCAAGCGTGTGTGTAGAGCAGGGTTGCGAGGTTGTAGCAGGGTTTTAAGCGAGGGTTTAGGGTTTATGCCAGGATATAGCTAGGATACAGGGTAGGCACGATCATAGGCACGAACAAGTTTCATGGCATTCTTGAGATTATCAAGGGGTTCCCATGTTGGTTCTTCATCAGGGTAACCGGTCCATTTTACTTTGTATTCGGTGATTGGTTCCGGGTGATCTGATACTTGAGTTGTTCTTCGTCCTATGATTGACTTGACTATGAATTATGGGCCTGTTGGAAGCATAATTGGTGGAGGTCTAGAATAAGGGCGGTCAGTGAACTGGGGCGGGGATTCGTGGTATTCCTTGAGGTATTCTACGTGGAAGACTGAGTGGACGCGACGCATGTCAGGTGGAAGCTGAAGTTTGTAATTCACGGGAGAGGTTTGTTCAATGATGGGGAAGGGACCGACCCACTTGCTCGAGAGTTTCTTGGACAAGGCTTGTTCGGGTTCAAAGCGTTTGGCAGAAAGCCAGACATTGTCCCCTACTTTGAATGACACGTCACGTATGTGTTTGTTAGTCTTGTTGGCTTGTTGTTCTTGTGTTCTTTCAAGGGCTTCGGTTAATTCTTTGAGGAGTCTGTTCATTGTTGCTACCCATTCATTGAGAGAGGGGCAAGGGGTGGAGGGGCTGAGCTGCGACGAAAGCAAGAAATCAGAGGGCAGGCGAGGATGGTAGCCAAGGTCGAGGTAAAAAGGGACATGCCAGTGGAGGGGCAGACAGCGTTGTTGTAGGCAATCTCGGCGGTTGTGAGCAATTGATCAGTCATGTTGGCGTGGATGACAATACTTCCGCAGAATTCTTTGGAGAGTATCGTTCATCTTCTCGGTCTGGCCATCGGTCTGAGGGTGGAATGCAGTGCTATACTTGAGTGTGGTTCCGTAGGCTTGGAAGAGGTGTTTCCAGAACTGTGATAGGAAGCGGGGATCGCGGTCACTGATGATGTTCTCGGGGAGACCGTGGTGGCGAGCGACATGCTCGAAGAAGAGTATGGCGATGTCTTTGGCATTGTGCGAGGTGGTACAAGGAATGAAGTGGGCGCGTTTGGTCAGACGACAAACAATGACGTAGATGCAATCATGCCCATGGTCGGTCTTGGGGAGGCCGCACACGAAGTCCATGGAGATGGACTGCCACCGGTGGGTAGGGATGGGCAGTGATTCGAGCTTGTCGGGCTTGGCCCGGTTCGAGGGATTAACGGCCTGACAGGTGGGGCACGAGCGGATGTATGCTTTGACGTCGGCGAGTAGAGAAGGCATATGGAAGTAGTGGGAGATGGTGTCGAAGGTTTTCTGGAAACCGAGGTGGCCAGCGGTCTTGGCGTCGTGGTGCTCGGCCAAGAGCTGGGTACGAAGACCACGTGCGTCAGGGATGCAGAGTCGGCGAGTGCCCTTGGTGTCAATGTAGAGTAGATTGTCATGGAGAGAGTAGTCAGGGACTGAGTCAAGGTTGTCGAGTTGGTAGTAAATGGAAGCAAGTCTGGGCAAGAGAGGTAACCTCGAGGGAAGAAGTTGAATGTGGGTCATGGCAGCGTAGACTTTCTCAGGGGGCTTGTGGTCGGGGCGGCGGGAGAGGACATCAGCAACGCGGTTGCTTTTGTCGAGGGTGTGGCAGATGGTGAAGGTGAACTGGGCAAGGAAGTCTAGCCATGGGGTGAGGTGGAAGGGGTAAGAAGGTAGGGGATGTCAACGGGAGAGTCGGGAGGGTTAGTGAGGCAAACAAAGGAGGGGTGGAATGAGTAGGGCATGTAGCGGTCAAGTCACGGGGTCCCTAGGACGATGTCGCACATAAGGTGCATGACATCGAAGGAGACCTGACTGCGAAGGGGGCCGACAGTCATGGTGGTCTCAGGGACTGTGCGATCAACGACGACGGCTGAGTCCTTATCCCCTAGGTGGATAGTGATCGGGGAGTCATAGCTGGTGGAAGATAAGCCGGCTTTGTGGACACAGGCGTTGGTGATGCAGTTGTCGGTGGCGCCGATATCAAGGAGGGCCCGGAACTTCACCGTCTATGCACCGAGGGAAACGGGAATGAACTTGAGTTGGAACTGTGCGGATTCGGCACAAGCAGAGGAGATCATAGTGTTGAGGCGGCGTTGCTCGAGGCCTAACCTAATGAGCCGATAGTGTCAGGCTCGTTCCTCAACAAGATCTGTGAAAGTGGTGGCCGATGGGTTAGGGAGGAGGGTGGAAGAACATGTGGCGGTGGAGGGTTCATCCGACGGAATAGGGGACATCGTCGGGAGGGGGGCAGGCGGAGTAGACTGCGACGCCTAGAGATTGTCCGATGGGATGTGCGTCACCGGAGGAGGGGTTGGCAGACGAATGGTCGATGCCAAATGAGCCATCGGTGGGACGGAGGACGTCACCGATGGGTGGGCCGATAGACGCGGTGTCAATGCCGGGTTGATGTCCTAGGGACTGTGTTCATGATGAGGAGGGACCCGCGCTTGCCGAGGACGGTGATGCAGAGGTTTCGGGTCGAGTGGAGGTGGACTGGCGGGTGAATTGTGCAGTGTTGGGGCAATTGGTTTGTTGGTGCCCCAATTGACGACAACGGAAGCAACCCCCTTTTGCTTGGAGGTGGGTGCGCTCCTCGGGGGTGAGTTTCTTGAGGCGGGAGGGTGGGGTAGATGAGGGTGGTCGAGAGCTGCGATCTCTGCGTTCCATCCTCATGAATTGGACGACATTGAGTTCCTCTCGGAAGAGAGGGATGAAGAATCGAGTGAATCGGAAGATGCGTCGGGGTCCGGTGTAGTGAACTCGTCCAAGGAGGTGGTGGAGGTGGTGTCCTCGGAGGCGATGTTGTGGAAGAAGCGAGGGCGGGAAGGGGCCGATGTAAGTGCGGTTTTGTAGGGGGAGAGGATGCGATCGAGTTGGAGGGTACGAGTGAGGAGGTCGGCGAGGGTCATGGGGGGCTCGTGGACAAGCGCGCCGCTAGGTCTTTGCGGCATACGCGCTTAATGCGGGAGATGAAGGCGAAGTCGCTAACGACATCAATGGGGATATGTTGGCGAAGTGAGCGGACATATTGCACAAAACGGTCTGTTGGGCCGTTTTGTTGGAGCCGGCAGAATTGGTCGATATAGTCGTCAACCGTTTTCTATGGGCGGAAGGTGGAGGTGATGAGGTTGGCCCACTCAAGGAAGGTGTGAGGCCGGAGACCGGAGTGGTGGCGATTAGACATTTCAGTGTACCAGCAGCGAGCCGCTTTGTCCAGAAGTCGGCCGCCAGCGATGGGGAGCCAGTGGATGGCGGGGATGCCGTGGAGGGAGAAGGCTTGTTGGAGTTTGGTGAGAAAGAGGAGGACATCCTCATGGGGTTGGCCCGAGAAGGTGGGGATTTCGTTGACGCGGAATGATGGGGGGATTTTGCCTTCTCTAGGGTTAATGGAGGCAAGGGTGTTGAAATCAAGGGTGGGGGTGGGGGAGTCGACCAGGGTGAAATCATTGGTGGGGTTGGTGGGAATGAGTGCATTTGGGGGAAGTAGTGGGGGAGCGGGATACACAGCGTGTGGGATAATCTGGGTGTAGTTGGGGATAGTTGAGGTGATAGTGGAGGTGGATAAGAGGGGTTTTGATTGGGGGGGGATGGTTGATGACTGTGTGACGGCGGGGATTGTCGCCTTGGGCGAGAGAGGAGGTGGAGTGGCCACGGTGGAGGTAGTGGTGGATGAAGATGGCGGTGATGTTGCTGTGGAGGTTGAAGCTGAGGCTTGTCTGGAGGAGGGGGTGGTTTGGGGTGTGGAGGAGGGGGGTGTGGTTGTGGTGACGACCGTGATGGCGGGGGTGTTTCTCTCTATCGTGGTGACGCGGTCTCATATGGACGACATGTTGGCCTTTATGTCGTCGAGAGAGGCGGTGATGGAAGTTCGGAGGGTGTCGAGTGCGTGGAGGATGGCGGAGAGGTTGGGGGTGGCGGTGTTTACTGGTGGTTGTTCGCCTGCGAGGTTGCGGGCGATGCTATCGACTGAATCGGTGCGGATGTCAGACATGTTGATGGATGATGCGGCCATGTTGGGGGAAGAGGGGACGGAGGACGTGGCCTAAACGGGTGTGGAGGATGAAGCAGCAGTGGTGGCGGCGGCAGCAGCGCGATGTTGGTGGCGGCACGTTGAGAGGTCTTGGTTTGGCGTGATGGCATGTGGAGATGGGGGGAGACAATCCCTTATAAATTCGAAAATAAATGAATAAATAAAGATAATTGCCAAGATTTTTCAAAAAAATAAACGTAAAACAGAAAGAGATAAAGTTTTGATTTAGATTAAATTTATTTACAAGAAAACGTGAAATTTCGAAAGAAAATATTTTTGAATTACGAGGAAAAAAAATTATGAAAAGAATTAGGAAGAGCAAATTTTAAAATATTTGGCAGGAATTTTTCAAAGGAAAATGTCGACATTTCAGAAAAAGGATAACTAATTTCGAATAAAGAGATTAATTCAGTCGTGAATTTAGTCGAAATTCATTGAGGAGTTTAGAATAACACTTTTAAAAGAAAAGTACTTCCAAATTGTAAAAAGAGTTTCGAAAGAGAATTTCGAAAAAGAATTGTGGAAAAGAATTAATTGATCATGGTGTATCTTCTAATTTTAAAATTATGTTCGAATTCGAAAAAGGGAAAAAAAAAAAAAAAAAGATTTTCGAATCTCAACGAAAATTGCAAAAAGAAATTGTGAATTAAAATACTGGGAAAAAGAATTAATTAGAATTATTTTTGAATTTCTAAAAGAAATACCGAAAAAGAATTTAATTAATTCTAACGTATTTTCATGTTTTTTGAAAAAAAAATAAGTAGAAATGTTTTTGAAAAAGAAATGTTGAAAAAGAGTTCAATTAATTCTCAAATATTTTCAAATTACAAAATTTTGAAAAAGAACAAATTAAATTTGTTTTTAAATTTCGAAGAAGAAATCCCGGGAAAGAAATGATTAATCCTATGTATTTCGAAAATTTCGAAAAAGAAAATACGTTTGAGAAAGAAATGAGTATTTTCGAATGTACAAAAAAAAAAAAGAAAAAAAAAGAATATAAAATGGATTTTAGAAATGAATAAAATGAATTTTGATGTAAATCGAGGGCGGAGCGATCCTATCTACTATTGATTGGGTGGTAGCGTGGTAGGTAGGGCACGGGTAGATTGGTGATGATGACGATGATGATGATGATGATAGGGCGGGGA